AATGCTATGGAATTCTGGGAATTGTACTTTTGAAAGACATTTAGGGGCTAAGCAGACTGGCGGCCGCGGGCCGCCCTGGGAAGGTGCGCCGCGGGACCGAGGCATCCCCATGCCTCGATCCTGCGGCGCAGCTTCGCCACCCCTGAAAGGAGCGCTAAAATAGCGCTCCTTTCACAAGTCAGTGAAAGTGCGCCTCAAAAGCTTGAGGCGCACTTTCGTTGACTTTTCTGCCGCAGCGTGTCCGGATGCTGCGGTGGGAGGTTGCCCTCGGAGCACCGGCCGTGCGGAGGGCCGGTGGCTCCAAGGGCAACCTCGGGAGGAGGAAGGGGTGCCGAGTGTGCGGCTGCCCCTCCTCTTCCCTGCCTCGAGGACAGCTTAATAAGCCATCTGCCGAGGCCCTTAGCCTTCATTGTCAGAGAGTCCTGGTACCATAACAAACTACAGTTTGCAGAATTCCATAGTGATGAGCCATGACAATTACCATCCAAAACTGGTCTGAAATAAAAACCGGTCTTAAATAAAAACTGAAAACTGCAATACAATATCACACAAGAAATACTTTCTAAAAACAAAAAACTGAAAAGAATAACTAGTCATTTTGCCAAAAATAAAAAGAATTTAAAATGCTTGGGAAAATAAAAAGTTTTAGCCTGGTGTTAAAAATCATACAATGATCTAAATTCAGTTGGGAATAGCAATAAACCTGGATAATCATAGGATTAATATTATCTGATTTCTGCAGGAGGGTATTCCCAAAATGGGTACCACCACCAAAAATGCCCCCACTTTTTAGTATGCACAATGCTGTTCTTTTGTGCAGTAAGTAGAATACAGAAAGGAGCCTTATCTGATTGTTATCATTTCACTATTTCTATGGTAAATGCATTACAGCAGGAAATTTTGGTTAGATACCATTAATCTAAGATAACTGTGTCATGCAGTGGTGATGCATCCTACCCTGCTGTATAATTCCTACTCTTGTTGTAGACAGTTGGAGAAAAGACCAAATATTTAGGTGGCAGGTGATTTCAATTATCATGCCAATACATTATGACACAGCTTTTCTTGCTTTTCAATTTGTATAGTTCAATTTGTATAGTTTCATGCTTGATTTGTACAATTTGGTATCGAGTGGTTCAGCATATATGGGCAATGAAGAAGAAAAATGGCTTTGCCCATTGCATAACACTCTCTTTTCTCTCTTTTTGAATATCCATGTCTGGTATATGCTAGCTTTAAACACAGTGGAGCATATCGTTCCAAACAGTGGACTCCTGACTGGTGGAATAGTATGCATCAGGTTAATGCTAGATGTCACAGCATTGCTAATGGCATGTACAAAGGTTTGGCCCATTATTAGCAGTGAAGTATTTTAGAGATACTTTTGTATAGCACACTAAAATGTACAAAGGTGTGATAACTGTAAATTGTATGCATTTTCAAAGGGTTAGGCAAAGGATAATTGTGAAGCTTAAATGTTCAAACTTTCTTTTCCAAGAGTATCAGATACCATCAAATTGCTTTGTTCCTGTTTATTTTTCATTGTGAGAATATCTGCTTTCAAGTTTCACAGAACAAATGTACTTTCCATTATTTTGGGGTTCAAAGACATGTAACTGTGTTTCTTCAAAGAATAATTCCAATATGTGTTTGTTGAAAGAACAAATAAGTGTTTGTTATAGTATGTAGCAAGTGTAATGCCAATACAACATCATAAAGTGTGGTACTGTTTCAGCTCTGAAAGGACCCTGATGTCTGTAATATCACTGTTGTCCTTTGGAAAGCATTAATGTAGTTACTGACACACACCTTCAAATATGTGGAGTAATTATGTGGTGGCAAAATAAAGAAGCTTGGCATCTTTCCCAATTGCAAGGTTCTTTGTTGCCAGATACCTAACAAGAACAGAGCTGGCGATCATTGCCATTTTGCCCTTGTAAATTACTAAATCCCAAATGTATTGATTTGTCAAGTGAGCTTTTTCCTGCAAAAACTCCATGTCACAATGAATTTTCTTTCTGAAGTACCTCCTAAGGTTTGTTTTCCATTTCCACAAATTAAATGCCTAGCTAGACATTACTCCCCTTGCCATTTTTCTCAGTTTGTAACAATTAGTATCTCTCTTTGGCTGCTCCAAAGAAAGGAAAAGTAATGTTATTGAACAGAAGTTGCCTCCTCCAAGGTTATTGTTAGATGGGTGGATATAATCTGCGTGTTCTCCTCCACAGAGATTAATAGTGAATTTCAGTGGGGTGGGTAGTATTTTGTTTAGGGAAAGTCTTGGAGAATCAAATTAACTCTCCCATCCACCCAGTACTGAACTTCCAAATAGCCATGAGGGATTTTGATTAGAAAAATAAACAGCCCCCCCTGCTACCTGATTGTTGTGTCTTGTGTATATGTAATTTGTCTGTAAGAAGGGTTCTTTCCTTACAGACATGGCTAAATAATTTTTAACCAAGAAAATTTTGAGACAGCCCTGCGACTGAATTAGTCATATAATTAAAATTGTGCATATCTACTGAAAACTTACATGGGAAGTGTCATCAGCAGTGGATTTATTACATTTCTTTGCCCCACTCCAAACCTGACTTATGACTTCAGTACTTTTGTTAGTACTTCCATAATCCCACTATGTAGTAAGCAGCTGTCATCAGCTCATCACCGTGAATGCCTTTAAGTTGCCACCCACCAGGATGAGTTATGAATCAAGACATTGTTTCAAATAAAAAGTCATGACTGCTTAGAAAGAGTTTTGGCACTTCATAAAAATAATGAAAATGCCAGATAAGCTTTTGGAAATGAGAAAGTATTTCTCCTAGGGATGGTATAGCAGCATGAAATATAAAAGAGGTGAATTTCACTTTCAAGTTATTTTCAGAGTTAATGGCTAGCTCAGTGCAAAATGGAATCAGTCGCTGTTTTTCTTTTGATTTAGACTTGAGCTTCCTTGGAAAAGTTCCTACTGCAATTTCTTCTTTCCCTCAGTTGCACATGTAAAATGAAAGCCTATAAAACTGATTCTCCCACTCTTGGGTAAGGACAGGTAAAAAGTAAAAAACACCACCACCACCCAGCATTTTCAAAATAATAGCATTGTGTAAAGAGTTGGTAAAAGCTTAAAACTTCCAAAGAAAGAAGAGAGGGAGAAGGAGGAGGAGACAACACCAAGGACTTTTGCAGACAGAGTTGTGGGGTGCAATTTGAATTTCCCAACCATTTTAACCCTTTTAAAGGGAAACAAAAATATGCAAGTATGAAAGTTATGAAAGTGAGGGATGCAGTGGCTCAAGTGGTTAAGACACTGACTCTGTTGATCGCAAGATCAACAGGTTGGCAGTTTGGGGCCCAGGTGCTGCATGAAGGGGTGAGCTCCTGTCACTAGTCCCAGCTTCTGGCAACCTAGCAGTTCAAATACAAGTAGATAAATAGGTACCACTTCTCAATGGGAAGGTAAACAGCTTTCTGTGCAATCATGCTGGCCACATGACCACAGAGTAGTCTCTGACAATGCTGGCTCCTCGGATTAGTAGCGGAGATGAGCACCACCCCCAACGGTCGGACATGACATGACAACCTTGTCAATGGGGAATACCTTTACCTTTTATGAAAGTTAAACTTGTTAGAGTCCAGCTTTCATCAGCAGAGAAGCAAAAGTGTGGGTCAGACTATTTATTCTAAATCTGCCTTCCTAAAGAATAAAGACTTACTCCAAAAAAAAACAACAAATATGCAGTTTGTGGCTTAAAGACAACTAATAATGGCTTTAATAAATACATAACAAAACTAAAACCTAATCTAACTGGTAATGGTTTGGGTAAAGAGAGATAAA